CTCCTACATGGCAGCGAATGCTAGGCAATCTTCTCACAGATGAAGAAGAGATTTGGAGCAGCAGAACTGTTTGTTCTACAGAAGGATGCTGAAGATACCATCGACTGGACATATCAGCTACGACGAGGCTTCAGAGAAAATAGAAACAAAAATGAGATATATAACTAATATCGGAATGACACAGCTGAAATTTCTAGGGCACTTAATGACGAAAGAGGGCTTAGAAAATCTTGTTTAAATGCACGGAAAGCAGGGTTTAAAGGGAGATAAGAAAAAAGACATAAATTACTAACAGCTACAAAGGAGAGGGAATTGGGGAGGACAATAATGGTCTACGTTCGAAAGGGACTCTGCATATGAAAAAAAAAGAAGTGTTCTTGGGTCTGAGCTTGTCGGTAAATGTGTCTCGACATTTGAAGACAGTTCCTTTGAAGTTGCCTATGCAAAGTTATTTGGAAGTGACTACGTCTACTGAGTTTTGGGTTGAGGATTTATATTACCTTCATTTGGGATGAGGATTTATATTACCTTCTTTTGGGTTGAGGATATATATTACCTTCTAGAGAGTCCGAGCTGATGCCATTTGAAAGGGAAATAGAACGAATCGATTGGTCCATTATTCTTTCTCTTTGTCACGTGGTAGCGTTCTCTACTACGTCCGCATGGAACGGATTCAGTAAAACTGATTTTGAAATTTACAAAGTCGAAGAGACACAAACATTATTTCTTGTGTGGGCATATGTGTGTAGTCCTCAAGCATTGCTCATGAACATTTTTTTTTATCTCAGATATTAAGGGATTTTATACTATTGTTCACCTAGTATAAAACCAAAGATCCACTCAAGATAGATTCTTCTTGAATAAGGTTGTTGTTAGGGCGTAAAAGGGGGAAGTAAGAAGTGCATATTATGAGGATATGTAGGATAGATAAAGATTGACCTTAGATATGGGGAGTTTAAGATCGTAGTTTTCCTTTCGAGAATTGTTTTTTCTTAAAAACATTTCTGGGGAAGGAGATGCCTTTTTTTATCGTTTCAATTCAAGCAAGGCAAAAAAGCCACTAAGGCGTAGGGAGTTACTTAGTGTGAAAAATATGAGAAAAAAACATTATTAAGGAGAGATATACAAATAAAGAACAGGAAATTAGACGTTAATAGATAACGATTGACACTGCATATAAATTTTTGAAGATCAAAGTGGGCTGGAAAGAAAGTGAGTCTGAGGGGAGCTTCCTCCTTACCAATGGAATACAGACGGAACGAGAATGAATCAACCATGGGCACGTGGCAAGGCGAGTCCTAAATATGAAGGCCGTAATTACTGGAACTAAGGAATTGAACTCTTCTGAACGTATGAAAATGGTGGTATATTATCGAGAGATTTTCAACTTTTGTGAAAGGAGTTGTAGAGTGGAAAATAATTCATCACCCACAAGGACGCGTAAACGCTTTTGAACTCTGTCAAGACTGGATAGAGAGGTTTGAGCAGTTTCAGCCCAGACATGGCAGCAATACTCCATTTTTGATCTGACTTGATTCTGATAAAGCAGATCAGGAGGAGCCAGGTACTTTCTGGAGTGATACAACGAACCGACTGTATCTTCCAGCATCTTTAACGATGGATCGTATATACCAAGTTCAACTTGAGGTCTGGAATGAGCTTGACGCCGAATAAACGTTCGAGGCATGGAGCCTGATTGAGAATACAATCGTCCATCACGACTGAAGAAAACTCAGCGTCTGCTTGGTGATGTTGAAACGTTAGTACCTTATGTGTATCTTTCTAATGTTGCAATTTTGTTCCATATTTATGATTTTGATTTCGTTTCTTACGGGTTGGCGTTCACCCTTTCCCTGTCACGCTTGGGCATATTTATTGTAATTGATTTTCACCCACACTGATTTAAGATTTCCCAGGTGTTAACTGACCCCTCCTTGCACCCTGCTCTACTGCCAGTCATTTTAACGATGCCAGAGTCCTGTTACTGACATAGCATGATGAGATATGATTAAGCGTCGTGAATGTGACTTTTTTTTTTTGCAAGTCACTCTCTCTACCCTTCACTCGCTTAATAATCTGATTAACCGCACAAGTGTCATTCCACAAAAGGAGCCTGAAATGCGAAACCACTGACATGTCGGGTAATAAAAGTCGTTATTCGCCAGACAAAATTCTGATGAGGTTTCTCGACGTTTGAATAACTTTAAAACTGTCAACACATCGTGAATGCTTCTGGAGACTTGTTAAACGTGAAAATTTTTCTCCTACGCATGCGTAGCTGCGTACTTTTGCACACGTGTGTTGATAGACTCATCAAGAAAGAGGCATAAACGTTAACACTTCCTTTTCAATCGACCTAGACTTTTTGAATTTAAGCGCAGTCGAGATCTCACTCGTTTACAGTCGAGCTGGCTAGGTGTAGCCGTAAATCCTACGCCCACACTTTCTTTCCTCGCACTTCTCGCCTGCGGAATTCCTTTCTAGCTCCATGCTTGCCGGTCAAATTTGATCTGCAAAAATGTTCGGTCGATGGTATTCTCAGCATCTTTCTTTTGAACTAGATTTCTGTTGCTTCAAGCCTCTTTTTCATCTTTGGAGATATTGTCCAGCATTCACTGTCGTATATGAGGATTGATATTGCATATAAGTTCGGGGCGATTTTATTTGTTTCTAGCGAAATATTTCTGTTTCTTAATACTTTGCTTAGCTTTTGGTAGGCATCTTACGCTATCCCGATACGCTTTCGGATATCAGTGGTGCACTTTCCGTCCTCTGTTACAATACTTCCCCAATATTCACAGATCTCATTCACTTGTCCATTTCTTTCACTGAATGAACAGACATTCATAAAATTCCATTACTTAAATAAAGACCTTTGGCTTAAGACAGCAAAATTACACCACCGATTTGTCCAAGAGTCACATGATTTCGTAAATCAAAGTGTTGATTAAAACACACCTGGTTTCCTGGTAGTTAAGCGTTCAATCTCGGGGTCTGCTGAAAAGTCATGCATTCTGGTTCAGAGAAAGAAGAAGTGGTTATTGATCGACTACACAAAATGTTTAATGATAAAACCTCATCACAGAAATTCAGAAAGGACTTTATTCAATTAATTGCTTAGGACATTTGCAGTAATGAAATGTTTAGTCAAGTAGTTTTTCAAACCGTTCTTTACGAGTATGAAGTGAGTTCGATCCTGTCAATAAGAATTTTATCAAGACTTCTGGCGATAAAACAGATTGCAAGAAGTGCAATCATGCTTTTTTTTTTTAAATAAGTCTTGTCCGAAAAAGGCATTTACAGTCGATTTTTTTGTTAGCCAGCTCATCCCCAAGCAAGACGATAATGTCACTACGACCCAAGTGGCTACAGGAAGTGAAATAGAGTGAAAAGACTAAAAGAAACCGGAAACCCAATCCTAAACAAAGAATAAGGGATAAAAAATCTACCGAGCAGGACTGTGAACTGAAATTGAGGCGAACTTATCTACTTCTACCGAAGAAAAAAAAAAAGATTTCAGAGTTCAGAAGATGACATTGGAAGCGAAAACCTAATCCTAAACATGAAACAAGGAGTAAATCTCTAATGCTGTTCAAAAGAGCGAGGAGGTGTGTGAACAGGGCGATAGGCGAACCTATCTATTCTTATAAGGAAATATAAATAAATAGTAAATAAGATTTCAGTGTTTAGGCGGAGACGTTAGGAATATCGAGTTGAAGGAACCTATAGAAAGAACTGGAAACCTGATCCTCAATAAGAAACAAAGGATAAACCTCTACTCCTGTTCAAAAGGTCGGATAAGAATGTTAACAGGGTGATAGGCGAATCTATCTACTCCTAAATCTGAACGTTGAGATGTAAGAGAGGCTTGCCCATAAACAGAAATAACTGGAGAAGTGGATAGATGACTTTTTTCTAGTTCAAGATGAGCCTAAGTGAAATAGGATCCCTGATTCTATTTCCCTTCTGCGCTGGTGCGTATCAGTTAAAGACACACGAAACAACGATAATAATGGGCCTATTTGGAGAAAAAAATATGCGCTCTTCGGCAGGATTTAAAAGTTGAAAAATTGTGACACAGTGACACACTGACATTTCCATTTATTATTACTATTTATTATATAGTTAATAATGTTTCTCGAATATTCAAGCCGGTAGACGAAAATAAATACATATGCTGTCTAAAAAGTAAGCGGGGCGTCTACTAAATTACGAGTATCCATTAAAAATAACGTTTAAGTAATTGATTGTGAATTTTGTTGTTTGGTATATTTTTTGGTTTTCGGTGAAATATAAAATATAAATTGCCCAATGTCAAAGTCATTATATATATATATATATATATATATATATATATCTGTGCGCGCGTGTGTGTGTGTGTCGGTCTGGAGGGGGCGATCCCAGCGTGAGTCACCTTTGGAAGGTGCCTGAAAACCATACCACGATTTGACCCAAGCCTTGCGAGTGAAATTGGGTAGCGGAGCCCGTGGGGACGGTCGATAGCTGTGCTAACACGAAGTCACAAGTCGTCGTGACCGAGGGTTTGAGTGTGCTGGCCATGTTCAGATTAGTGATCCCGCTAGATTACACGCTCTCTCCCAGAAACTGTAATTAAGGTCTGCAAAGCATAGTTACAGTATAAACCACAGGCTGGCTCTGTGGGTGTTGAAGAAACGCAAATGTGCCTGAGCGAGCGTCTGCAGTAAGGATTGGATAGCCGACCTAAATAGACGGGTATTCTCGAATATGAGTGGCTGTTTGTTAAAGATTTTCCGTTTATTTTTTACAATATTTTAAACAATTTTCCTGTTTTCCAGAAGAAGTTTAAATATAAATTATTTAATATCTAATTACTTTCAGCTTTTCTTAAGCCGTAATGCAAGTGGCTTTGATTTGGTGCCATGTCAGTTTCATCGTTTTTAAATATCACCTCTGAAATGTCGATTTTTAAAATATCGCGTCTTCATGCGTCAGTTCATACTATATTGCCATTTGTTTAGATTTCTCTCTTTCTTTTTATCTCTCTCCCATCTCTATCTTTCTGTCTCTCTCATCTCTCTCTTTATTTTTAACTCTCTCACCCTTCTCTCTTTCTCTCTCTATCTCCCATTCTCTCTTTTTATCTCTCATTCCCCTCTCTTTCTCTCTCTCTCCCCATCTCTCTCTCTCTCTCTTTATCTCTCTCCCCTCTGTCTTTCTCTATGTCTTTTTTTATCTCTCCACTCTCTCACTTTGTTTTTCTCCATCTCTGTCTCTTTTACCTCTTTGTCCTTCTCTCTTTCTCTCTCCATCTCTCTCTTTTTACCTCTCTCTCTGTTTTTATCTCTCTTTCCCTCTCTTTCTCTCTGTTTTTTTATCTCTCTCTCTTTCTCTCTTTCATTTTATCTCTCTTCCTCTTTCTTTCTCTCTGTCTTTTTATATCTCTCTCCCCTTCTGTCTTTCTCTCTGTCTTTTTATCTTTCTCACCCCTCTCTCTTTCTTTTTCTCTCCATGTCTCTCTTTTTTACCTCTCTCTCACCTTCTCTCTTTCTCTCAGCATCTCTCTCTTTATCTCTCTCCCCTCTCTCTTTATTCCTCTCTCCATCTCTTTCACTTTTTATCTATCTCTCCCCTCTCTTTCTTTCTCTTTCCATCTCTCTTTCTCTCTCTCAATATATATATCACAATGTTGTCATATTTTCATTATAGCTCTAGGACAATAATATAAAAACCAGTGCATTATGTGAAAAAAAGGAATAAAGTGATTTACATACTGACATATACAGACTGATATTTGTATATATATATATATATATATATATATATATATATATATATATATATATATATATATATATATATATATATATATGGTTGCCAGTCCTTGATTCAAAAATCGTACGACTCATACAGCAATCGCTATCAATTCACTTAAAATGTTTTTGCCCTTCCTTGCCTTTAAAGGAGTGCCCTTTGCCGTGCTGATGTTGCTACATGCCTTACTTCTTGCCTATCTCACACTGCGAATTTTTTCTAAGCTCTATACGAAACATTAAATCTGTTACGAAAAGAGAACTAAACAAAACGAACACAAAATGATCAGCTTTAAAAAAGGACTCGTAACTGGAAAAACTGAATGAAAAAAGAATGTTAACAACAAATACTTTTCACACCCAACCCAGTTCTGCGGAATCAGAATCGACGTTGAGTTTAAGCAAGCGAATGAGCCAATTGGAGTAAAGTGCCATGCAGATTTAAATTTTTCCCACTTGTGACGAATGGAGCTATCGATTTTTTTTGCATGCTAGCATGCTAGTTAACATTCGTGTCAGTCAGCTGTTGGCTCTCACGCTGGCCAATAGAATCTTCCTGTCTATTCGTGTCAGCCAGCTATTGGCTCTCACTCTGGCCAGCAAGCTACATGAAAAGTACCGTAGAAGCATGAAAAAATCGATTATTTCCACTATCGATGGTAGTTGGGAAATGCAAAGTCGGTCTTGGCCTTCCCGCTAATTTGGAGCATGTGCATGTAAATTTTGGTGCAAATCTGTCGAAAATTGCGGCCGTGCATTCGTTACACACACACACACACACACACATCCTGCCTTTCATACATATATATATATATATATATATATATATATATACGAGGTTTGTTCGAAAAGTAATGGGATTTATCCATTCTTCGAAGTGATCTTGCGGTGTTTGTTTCGCTCAGTGCGCTAAAAGAGACGGACGTGAGTTGTTGTAGAAGGACAAATAGTGGCTGCCTCATCACAACAACGCACCTACTCACAACGCCGTGTGCGTCTGACATTTCCTGACCGTACTGGAACAACCTCCCTATTCACATGATCTTATTCTGTGTGACTATTTTTTTCTTTTCCCCAACTTCAAGAGGATCATCAAAGGGACCCGTTTTGAAGGTGTGGAGGCCATAAAGTGGGCCGTAACGTCGGAAGTGAGGGTCATCAAAGAAGAATCCTTCCAACAGTGCACAGAAGCATGGCGGAGAAAGATGGAAAAGTCCATTAGATTTTGTAGGGGAAACTAGGTAGTTTTTTTGTTTGGAATTGAATTTAATTGTTTCTGAGACCATTCCCGTTACTTTTCAGACAAAACTCGTATATAACACTTTATATATATTTAAGCTTTATGGTCACCTCGGCGTGGTGTAATGGTTAACAAGCTTGTCTCGTTGAAACAGTAACGACTTGTGCCGCATCTAAGCTACACTTCGATAACCAATAATATGCATGCTTCGTGATTAATACAAGTTTCATGCTATATTTTAGGAGGCAACTATTCAAAAAGTAATTACTTTTTCCACCCACCTACAATCCTCTAAAATTAAAAAAGCAACGTCAATCGCCATCTTCTGTCTTCCCAAAATCTATTCTTTTATTGACCTTTCTCCTCACTAGATTCTTATCATTCTACATAACGTAAATAATGGGGCTATTTCGACGTACAACTTTTGAGATACGGCTTCTCAACTTAGACGAATTTTCCTTATATTTATTGCCAAAATATCCGGCAAAAAATAAACAAATAAATTGAAATGCAAATATTTTGGAGATGAATTTAAAAGATGCAATCTTCTGGTAGAACGGATGAAATTAATAAGTAATCGAACTTTTGGTGTTATTTTATAAAAAAATAAATATTCTATTTCCTTTTACTTTAAAAAAAAAAATTTCTTCAGACTGGTGTACATGCATATTTATTGTTGTGTGTATATGTGTATGTGTTTGTGTTAGGGACTGGGATATAAAGGTAGATTGTATGAGAGAGAGAGACAGATAGTATGGGAGAGAGAAGCAAACAGCAGGGGAGAGAAATAGTATGGGAGAGGGTGAGAGAGGCGGATCGCATGAGAGACGGAGAGGACGAGAGATAGTATAAGCATGTAAGTAGGAGAGAGGGGGAACCAGATGGTATGAGAGAGGGAGAGAGAGGCAGATAGTATAAGAGAGGGAGAGGAAGAGGGATAGTATAAGCATCTAAATTCAAATAAGTGTCTGCAAATCGACACAATAAAGAAATGTGATAGTTAATAAAAAAATTTTTTTTTTCTCATTTCTTTTTTTTTTTTTTGGCAAATACAAATTTCATAATGAGAAAAATATTGCATGTACAAAATATTAGCAGTAGAAAAACTCAAAAATACACTCTTTCTCTTATTAAAAATATATGGGTCATATATATATATATATATATATATATATATATATATATATATATATATTATTAATTGATTTAAAATATGTTTTTTCGCTACAAAGTTCTAACCATGTTTCAAAAATAAAAGCTAAAAGCCCTGATTTTAATTTTTGTAATTAAATTAAAGACATTAGTTCCATTTCATCCTCAAGCGAATTAGCTTCCATTTTTTGAAATATGGTTAGAACTGTGTAGCGAAAAAAACATATTTTAAATCAATTAATTTATAATATTAATGCTCTGTAAATTTACATTGAGTACTATTTTGTAAAATAAAAATATCTATAAGAACACCGGATTATATATCTTACTGTTCTTTCTTTATATATATATATATATATATATATATATATATATATATAGATGCGTCACAAACATTTTCCACGTTGTCATATATTTTCCCCAATATATATATATATATATATATATATATATATATATATATATATATTAATGAACACATACGAATTTGGTACGGAAGTGCTTCTTGGTCGGATCAAGAACTTTTCATCACGCCCTAGTATATATTGAATACATTAGATTTGAAATGGACTTTAGAAGGAACCGGAAAATCAACCCTAAACAGGAAACAAGGGATAAATCTCTACTCCTATTCAAAAGACCGGGAAGGAGTGTGAACTAGACGACAGCCGAACTCCTATTGCAGAAATAAAAATAATTAGTGAATAAAATAAAATAAAACTGTTTAGGCGTTGACGTTAGAAGTATAGAGTGGAAGTTATCTTGAGAACGAGCTGGAAACACGATTCATGACCAGAGGCAAGGGGTTAACTCTTACTAGTGTTCAAACAAAAGTTTTTGTCTGAAGATTGCCTGAAGCAAGAAACTAACAGTCAACACTGATAATTCCTATATACACATTGTCACCCTTTCTTTTGTCTCTCTCTTTATCTATCTGTCTCTCTATCTCTCTCTCTATATATATAGTGATTTTCTATGCGCAGCTTAGATGTGGCACAAAGCCGAAAGTATGGGGTACCCAGTGAAGATCGAACTCACTACTCAGTCGTATCTGATCTAGAAAGTAAATCTTTCTAACCATTACACGACGTCAAGGTGCCTCTCTCTCTCTCTCTCTCTCTCTCTATATATATATATATATATATATATATATATATATATATATATATATATATATATATATATATATATATATATGCAGACAGGATGCGATAAGTAAATTGTATTATTTGCGCATGCGCATGCGCGCTTTTTGTTTTTAATTTTGTTGCCTGCAGAGTATATTAGGGTAGGTTGAGCACCGAGAAAAAAAAAGCACCATGACACAATTTAATCCACCAGAAACTTAGAAAAAATATGCCGTATTGCTTGGCAATCGTGCCGGAAGCTTCAATATGAACATTTCAGAGTGTTTGGGTGTCAATCTGAGGACAGTGCAGAGTATTAGAAAAGAGTTGGGTGAGTCTAATCGTGATTACGAAGGTGTTTGGAGTGATTACTAGTGATGGCGACGTTATACCTCCGTTGATCGTCCCACAGGGCCTCAAACTAAACACCGAGGCCTATATCAAATGCTTTCAAGAGGTAGTGCTGCCTTGGGTTAAGAGGGTGGCTGCTGGAAGACCATATGTCTGGCAACAGGACTCTCTACTATGCCGCATAAGATACTTGTATCTATATAAAGAAAGTATGACGGTCAAGCAGATCAGTTTCCAGGAAACAGACAGCCCAACACCGGCACATGAGATTTGATTATAGTGGTGAAGGCTTCGTGCAGGACCATCCACACTTTTTGAAGGGACGAATACAGAGACCTGGTTCACCGAATGCCACAAGGTTCGCAAACGACCCTCCGCAGGTTTTGAATTCAGAGTTGTCCTTCTCCTAGACCAGTTGCCAACCAAGGCTATAGAACCCAGTCTGTCCTGCTATTTTACCCATAGCTGGAGGGAGAGGTATATATATATATATATATATATATATATATTAAAACTATATATATATATATATATATATATATATATATATATATATATATATATATAGGTATCTAGGCAAAAATGTTCATTTATTCAAGTTTCTCTGTATTAATTTCTTTATCTTTGCAGAATGTTTGAAATAAGTTTATATAATATTTCGAGCTTTGACTAGCTGTAGTCATTATCCAGAATCAAAATGCTTATCGTATGAGTTATATATTGTTTTGATGCAAAAAATTCCAGCATGTTTTTAGCAAACACTTTTATTATGATTAATTCATTTCATTGTTGTTCTGACATCAAAATACGAAAACAAATCAATACATCCATAGCCTAACATGATATCAACAGAAATTTGATCTGAAATTTTCATTGTATAATGTTAAGTCTATATTATTAATATTCACCATTGAATTAAATGCACTGAAACATGGTAATGATGAACAAAACAATTTCCTTGATAAAATAAATATTTTTCATTATAAGTCGATGAACTTATGTAGTTATTTTGTCTGATTTTAGGCC